GTCGTCGTAGAGGTCGTGGTCGTGGTTGTGGTGGTCGTCGTCGTGGTCGTCGTTGTAGTCGGTAGTCGTAGCCGTCGTCGTCATCGTCCTCGTCGTCGTCGTCCCAGTCGTCCTAGTTGTCGTCGTCGTCGTGATCGTAGTCGTCGTCGTCGTCGTCGTCGTCGTCGTCGTCGTCGTCGTCGTCGTCGTCGTCGTCGTCGTTGTTGTCGTCGTCGTCGTCGTGATCGCGGCCTCCGACGTTGTCGAGCTCGCTGCGTTTCTCCTCCTCCTCCTCCTCCTCTGCCTCCTCCTCCATTCTTCCGTCTCTGAACTCCAGTCGACAGAGGGCGCGGCCTCCCACCGCTGCCGCTGCCGTCGATGGCGCGGCCGCGGCGGCCGTCTGTGTCGCGGGCCGCTGCCGCCGCGGCCGCCGCGGCTGCGGAAAGTGCCCACACTGCAGCTCGGCCGCCTGCGGTGGCACTCCGCGGGTGAGCAGCTGGCCCTGTAGGCAACGGGGCCTGGAAGTGCCTCCCCGCGTGCGCGGGCCTTTCGGGCCCTTCCCGGGCCCCGGCAGCGTCGAAGCACGACGGCCCAGCAGACTCGGCGCAGAATCACATCGTGTCAGTTGAGGAGGAGGAGGACGACGACAACGAGGAGGAGGAGGAGGAGGAGGAGGGGGAGGAGGAGGACGAGGAGGAGGTTGAGGAGGAGGAGGAGGAACAGGAGAAGGAGGAAGAGGCGAAGGAGGAGGAGGAGGAGGAGGGGGAGGAGGAGAAGGCGGAGGAGGAGGAGGAAGGAGGAAGAGGAGGAGGAGGAGGAGGGGGAGGAGGAAGAGTCCAGGACCCAGGGCCAGATTTCCTCCAGGACCTGATGCCCTTCATGGCAACCTGCTCGAGGTGCCAAGCCTCCTGCCGCCACCGCCCGCAGGCGCCGCGGCTGCCTGCTTGTGGCTGCTGACGTGCCCCAATTGCCAAACCATGAAGCAATGGTCCTCGTCCTCCTCCTCCATCGTCTCCTCCTACTCCTTTTCCTCATCCTCCTCCTCCTCCTTCTCCTCCTCATCATCATCAGCATGAGCATCAGCATCAGCATCATCACATCATCATCATCATCATCATCATCATCATCATCATCATCATCATCATCATCATCACCATCATCATCATCATCATCATCAGCATCATCATCATCATCATCATCATCATCATCATCATCAGCAGCAGCAGCCGCAGCAGCAGCATCAGCATCATCATCTTCTTCATCATCATCATCATCAGCATCAGCATCGTCATCGTCATCATCATCATCATCAGCATCATCGTCATCATCATCACCAGCATCATCATCGGCATCATCATCAGCAGTAGCAACAGCAGTATCAGCATCGTCATCGTCATCGCCATCGTCATCGGTATCATCATCTGCATCATCATCACCATCATCAGCATCACCACCATCATCATCACCATCATCATCAGCATCAGCAGCATCAGCATCAACATCATCAGCAGCAGCCGCATCGGCATCAGGATCAGCTTCTTCCCCTTCATCAGCATTATCATCATCATCGTCATCGTCATCATTTTCATCACCATCAGCATCCTGCACATCATCACAGTCAGCAGCATCACCATCATCACCATCGTCAGCATCAGCATCGTCATCATCATCAGCAGCAGCACCACAATAATCATAATTGCCATCATCGTTATCAGCAGCATCATCAGCATCATGATCATCATGATGATGACGAGTATGATCATCATCATCATCATCATCATCATCATCATCATCATCATCATCATCATCATCACCATAAGCATCATCACCAGCATCACCATCATCATCTTCATCGTCATCATCACCATCAGCATCAGCACCATCATCATCATCATCATCATCGTCATCGTCATCGTCGTCGGCATCGACATCGTCATCGGCATCGTGATCGTCATCATCACCAGCATCGTCATCATCGGTCTCATCATCAGTCTCGTCATCAGTCTCATCATAAGTCTCATCATCATCATCATCATCATCATCATCATCATCATCATATGCATTAGCATTATCATCATAATTGTCACCATCATCATCGCACATATGCGTGTTATGAAAACAAAGGTCCACTGCACTAGCGCAGGACCAACACATCAATGCATCACCGAATCGATCATCAACGCATCCAAGACCTTGTCCTAGTTCCGGCTCCGTACGCATTCGTCCTCTCCGATTTCGGCATTTGCTTTTCGCGCGCGTGGGCCAATGGGGTGACCGCTGCGCCGCGGTGCGGTTCCGCAACAGTGTCGCTGGGGAGGTTGCAAAGGTTCTCCTGCTCTTGAGCCTCCTCTGCTTGTCCTCGCGCGTACTGAACAAGACGAGCTAGTAGTGGATCTGCTGCTGAACCATCCCAAGTCATCGCAACACAACGATCGTGGACTGTTGCTTAGCGTGTCGCGGCGGCGGCCTCGACGCCACGCGGATAGGGTGCCGCTCAACACCGCGGGGCGAGAGGCTCGGAAGAGCTCGGGACGCTGACGCTAGGAAATAGAGGACCAGGTTAGCGTGTTGCGCCGATGGACGGTGAGCCAGAACCAAAGGAGCGACACGCTGAGCCAAAGCTTCCGACCGTACGCAGCCATCTTAGCGAGGATCAAAAAAACGGGTCTTGCGCGAGATGACATAGCGACCTTACGCCGCGGCTTACGCGGGCCACCAACGCGGCACGCCACATCGAAGACGAGGGCGCTCACGCGCGACCTTGCACGGCCTGCTTGCGCGGCAATGTCGGCGAAGACGAACACGTTTTCTTTGGACGCCCGAAATGGGCGCTGAAAGCACGGGTGCAATGCCCAACAACAAATGTTGTCCCAAACCAACAGCGGCCGCTGTTGAGCAGGCCGCCTTCTGCCTCGAATGGACACAGGCCGCGGCGGCGTGGACAGCGAAGCCCGTTCACAATGAACAGGAACTGCTGCTGGGCATTGTGCCCATTCTTGCCGTACCCATTTCGTTCGTGCCGAATCAAAGCTTCCAACCACGGGAGGAGGAGGAGAAGAAAAGCAACACGAAGAAGGAAGAAGACGAAGACGAATCAGAGGGGAAAGGGGGGCGAGGAGGAGGAGGAGGAGGAGGAGGAGGCCACGTGGCGGGCATCCAGATTTTCCTGCGTCGCTCACCTGTCCACACCCTGCGCGCCGCGAAGAGACCGCCTCGAGACCCCGGCCAGAGCCCCGTGGCTCTCCCACGACGGGGGCTCCCCGAGCTCCCGGCCCCCCCCCCCTCCCCGCGCCACCGCTGGGAACGGGCCCTCGGGCGAGAAAGCCTCCAGGAGCCGGCGGACAAACGCCCCGAAGCCCCCCCAAGGTTCTTCCCTCTCCCTCCTTCTCCCCCTCCTCCTCCTCCTCCTCCTCCTCCTACTCCTCCTCCTCTCCTCCTCTCCTCCTCCTCCTCCTCCTCCTCCTCCTCCTCCTCCTCCTCCTCCTCCTCCTCCTCCTCCTTCTCCCCAACAGACCTCCCCCGCCGAGGACACGCGCAGCCGACGACGGCGACGCCGGCGCAGACGACGAAGACCACGCTGGCGGCGGCGCCCGCGCGGGCGGGCGGAGGAGGCGCCGCCTTGCAGCAGCTCGAGAGCGCCTCGCCCATGGCCCGACGCCCAGGCCTGGCACGCCGCGCGCGTGCCACGCTCTGTGATGTCCGAGAGGGTACACGTCGTTCATTTCTAATCGTGTTCATTTCTAAGTGTGTTCGTTTCTGATTGTTCCTGGCCCCCTGGTGGCCAGGAAGAGGCCCAGGATAGAACAATCAGGAATGAAAGGAGCGTGGCCCCCAAAAAAATCCAAGAGCTCTCGAAGAAGTAGAAATGAACAGTGTGCAATCTCACGGCCTTCGAGAGAGGATGAAAAGTGCTCCCCCTCCTCCTCCTCCTCCTCCTCCTCCTCCTCCTCCTCCTCCTCCTCCTTTCCTCCCCTTCGTCCTCCTCCTCCTCCTCCCTCCTCCTCCTCCTCCTCCTCCTCCTCCTCCTCCTCCTCCTCCTCCTCCTCCTCCCCCTCCTCCTCCTCCTCCTCCTCCCCCTCCTCCTCCTCCTCCTTCATTCATTCATTCATTCATGGGCAATAAGAGGTCAGCCAAATCCAGGCTCGCCTGACCTCAGGAGAAAGATTAGTCGGAGTCGTCCGAGGTCTGCCCTGGAACGAAAGGCGGGGGGCCCCTGGCCCCTGTATGGGCCAGGGAGGCCCTCGCTCCGCGGGGGGAGGTGGCGCCGTCGGCCTGGGGCCCGAACAGGAACCTCGACGCCTCCTCCTCCTCCTCGAAGTCGCTCGCACGGGGCGGCACGGCGACGGCAGGGCGGACAGACTCGACTGAATCGGCAGCGGGCTGCGCTGCCAAGGAACGATCCCCATCCCCGCCCAACTCCCCGCCCAGGTCCCTCCACCACTGGGCAGCACCGTGGAGAACTGTCCATGGGCGGGAAAGGCGGGTGCCTTTGGGCCAAGGCAACGTGCCTCGGCGAAAACAGCGAACCTGTGCTTTCTTGATCTTAGCACAGGGTCCAAGAAGGTGCTTGGGGGTGCGGGTGCAGTACGACCCGCATCTCGAACAATACAAAACTGGAATGCCTGAAGATACAACCTTGCACGCCCACATCTTGTGTCCTGGGGTGGGAAGGTTGCAACCCCTCACCAGGGCACCGAAAGTGGGAGGGAGGGCAGCACACCTATTCGTGCGCGACGGGGGGGACCTGAAGCTCTTGGCGCACGAGAGACACTGCCACAGACGGCCATTCCACAAAACGTTGTGCTGCCTTTGGTTTCGGGGGGGTGGCCTTAAACTCTTCGATTCTCTTTCCAGGGTGCCGTGCATTTCCCTAGCTGAGGGCCAGAGTTCTAAAATCGACACTGCAGCTTTAAAAACAGCAAACCAACCATCAAGGGATTCTTTACAGGCCTCGGCGTCCTGGGGGGTGGCATATTCGCGGGCGGCCTCACGACACATGACATCGGCCCAGGCATTCCCTATTACTCGTAGTTGGTCTGCCCATTCACGATCTCCTCGCTGGAGAGTCTGGTGAGCCTTGACTTTGTGTATGGTAACTGCTTGTCCAATCTCTGAATGGCTCGCCAGTGGCCTGCCTGTTGGGAGGTGCCGTCCAGGGATCTGAACGAAAAGGCACATCCCGTGAGCAGGGCCTGACAGTCTGCGAAAATATCTGCCTCTTCATCGAATCTTGCAGGATCTTGCCACAGGTGGCGTAGTCCTTGGAGGAGCCCGTGATGTTCCGCCCAGGCAGCGTTTTGAGGGTACCTCCTGGGAAGGGGACCGCGGACCGCTCGTTTCAGGTCGCCACCTGCTGTGATTTCCACTGCCGTCCAGCCCGCTCGGGCCAGAAGAGGGTTCGTGGGTTCCAAACAACTGCCATCGATGAAGATCTCGGTGGGGCACGTGAAATCGAACTCGTCAATTTCGCCGACCCTGTCGCAATACTCAACTAAATCATCATCAGGAGGAAATGTCTTGATTTCGGGCACGGGGATCCACAGCTGGGTGTAGAGGGGATCCTTACCAGCGGACCTTCGGGCCGCTTCAACAATGACAGGGTCGACATTTCCTCTTGCTGAGTCCCCATGGGGACAGTGCCATAGCCTATGGAAGACAGTGTCGCACAGGCCGCAGTACAGGCAGGTCGGCTCCACCTTGAAACCTCGCTTCCAAAGGAGGTGGCTGGTGGGAGTCGTGCTGCATATTAAATCTCTCAAGCGTCTCTTTGAATCGTAGCTCCACTTGCTGCTGTTCCAGACCTTACTGAAAGGGAAACCCCACAAACCTCGATTTCTGATCTCGTTGGCCCTGGGGTGAATGTAATCGTCAGGGACCTCGGGCTCGCAAAGTTTTTTGCACACCGAGCTTTCCAAAAACTTCTGCCTCAGGTCTGCCGTGAACAGCTTCTGTATGAGCGCAGGTGAGGACTCCGTGATCTTGAGCTCGAGCTCATTGCTGGTCTTGACCGTCGTGGGGCCTTTGATATGCCAGCCTGCCTGCTCCGTCCAGAAAAGGGAGTCCGTGAGAGGGCTCCTGACCTTGTAGGCCCAGCCCTTCCCCCGAGGTGCTTGATCAAAAAACCTCTGAGAGAACTCGTAGCTCTGGCGGAGCTCCTTCGGGCTGAGGGCATCTGGCGGCTTAATCTGGCTGTCCGTGGTCATCCACCACTCTCTGCAATACCTCTTGAGGGTGGCACTGGCGTGGGAGATGGGGTCGGACTCTGGCTTCATGAGCCAGCAAATGTTGATGTCGCAGCCAGGCGACCAAATGCCGAGAAGCCGTGCAATCTGAACTCTTAACTTTTTTATTTCCTGAGGCGAATGTCCTGAGACTTCTTCCCCATAGCATATGGAGGGCTTGACTCCGCAGGTGTATATTTTGACCTTTTTGGGCTTGCCTTGTTTGCGATCTCGAAGCCGACAGATTTTGGGGAGACGTTTCATGTTCTCCTTCCATCTGGACATCTTTTTCGATCTGCATCCTTTAGCGGCCCTGATCTTCCCCACGTTATAGTCCACCCCCAGATTGGTAATGGAATTCTTGATGGACCCAGAGTATTCCCCAAGAGCCCCAGGAGCTTGCTTCAAAATCTCGAAGTTGTTAGCCGTGAAGTTAAGCTTCTTCATATGGATAGGGAGCTCGAGGGTATACGTGAACTTATGAAAAATCCTAGCTGCAAGATCCGCCAAGCCGTTCAAACACGTTTCTACAGTACATCCTATCGAGTCGAACGCCAGGTCGTCAATGTGAATCGAGAGAGACGTGCCTTCGTTGATCGTCGTGTCGCGGATCGTCGGAATCATGTATCCTTTAACTTCGAAGGTGGCCGTGGAGGAGCCCGCTACAATCCCTCTGGTGGGGTAGAGGGGCTCGCCAACTGCGTTGTCCATGAGTAGCCTCCTTGGCCATCTGTAAGAGTCGAGCGCCGCCTTCAAAGCGAACAAAGGGAAATCACACCTTATGCCCTCGCTGAGCATTGTGTGATGGCCAATGTGCTCGTAGCACTGCTTTAAATCTGCCAGGAGGGTAGCGACAAACTTGCCTGAATGATCTGCGATGTCGCCTCTCACCACCGCCCTCCAGACGGAGTCTGTAGTGTGCCTATGAGGGGCCATGTTGAAGTGTTTCGACTTGGCCGAGTTGCGTTCCCATTCGCGGCAGTGGTGAGATAGGCTCCTGGAGTAAATGCGGCTGAAGCTCTTGAAAAAGCCGATGGGCCTTCGACCTCCAGTCGTCTTGCGGAATAATGCAACAATCAGTTCCTTCAGCGCCGAAGGGCTACTTCCTAGAACATTCATGGTGTTTACGATACCTTCCATGACCTCTAGGGCGCCTTCTGAGAGCTGGGAGAAGTGCTTGGGGTGGTACCCGTCCACAGCGGTGGTGAACGTCTTGAACTTTGACGAAATCTTACGTAATTGGTCTCTGGAGGGGCCTGGGGGGATCCTGTAGTTGGTGTCCAGGGGATCCTGTAATGGAACACGGGGCTCGTGGACCCCCCAGGCCTTGCTCCATATATCATGCTGTTCTTGAAATCGTAGGCCGAAAGCTGAAGAGCGGGCTCCATCAGGATGTTTGACAGTATCCTCGACCCCTCCTGCAGAAACCTTGGTACTGCTGTGTCCTCGTTTCGCTCCTCCAGCTAATGCCTCCTCGCACCAATCTTCCCACCTTACCGTCGCCTCCTTCCTCTCCTTCTTAACATAACTGTCAAACAACTCGCCAAGGATGGGCACCCAGCACTCGACAGCCTGAACGAAGAAGTCCTGCTTGCCAGGAGTGAGAGCCAGGGTGCCGAGCTCCGCGCAGAAGTGGTGCCAGAACTCGCAATGGCTCCTCCAAAGGGTCCTGAACGGGCCTCCTCTCGAAGGGAGCTGGCGAGTGTGATTCGCGAGGTCCTGAAACTGCTTGGAAGGTCCTCTCTGAAAAAGACTTTTTAACTCCTTGATTCGGCGAAGCATCCACGCAATGCATCTGCTTTCGCTGGGTAAAGGGTTCCTGGAGGTGAGGAGTAGTTCTGAGAGGCGGACCGTCTCAAACTGCAGAGGCCGACCTCCTTCCAAGCCGATGGCGGTGGTAACTTGAAACTTATCTTTCAGCTCGCCCCAAGTCCTGTCTGTCCAGGCGGGGTAGATGCGATCCAGAGCTGCCTGCAGGATCGCCTTCTCGCCGTCTCCTGCTGGCGCTCTGAAACCGTTTCCTGAAGGGTGGCGAAAGTCCTCGAGCAGGGCCTGAATCTCGTCAGCCAAATCACCGTAGTCGGGCGGGGGCTTCGAGGGGCCTGTGGGGACCTCTGTTGGAACCTTCTGATATTTAACAATCCTTTGAACCAGTATGTCCTCGGTAGCGCTGCTCAAGGACATCGTGACTGGCTTGTGCGGCGGTATCATCGCATCCTCGTCTACCGCTATCCTCTCGAAGCTGAGGGCGAGTTGACGGCATACAATGAAATAGTCTATGACGGTCCTGTTGTCCCCGATGATGCAAGTCGCGGACTCAGGTGCGTAAATTTCTCCTAGGTACTTGTGGGGCCTCATGTGCTCGTGTTGTGTCTCAGGGTTTACGTTGAAATCACCACCCGCGACAAAGGGAACTCCAGAGCCCAGGATATGAGACCCCAGGATTTTGGATAGAACCATGTTGGCCCTACCAGGCCCAATGGAGTCCACCCAATAGTTACTGTATAAACTGACAATCCCAAAACTCCGTGTTCTCAGGTAAGCGTGCACTATCCTCCCAGGAGCCAAGACACTACTGGAGACGGAAGATTGCCAAGAGTCTAAATGTCTACGAACTAGGATGGCCACCCCCCCCCGAATTCCGATTCTCAGAGGTGACCAGGCAGGGATTCCAGTAGCTAGCCCACCCTTGGAGACTGAGAGTGTTCTGAACTTCTGGAATCTGAGCAACTCGGAGCCTGTGCTCCTGCAGAAACACTACCTCTGTGGTCCTCGGCACGCTGGAAAGAAAAAGTTTTGCCGTCTTCCACGAGGAAGTGTTGATGGTGATAAACGTGAAACTGCTACCCACGAGATGGTGGGGCTGCCTTGGCCTTGGGCTCAGTGGGCCCTTCGGCCGCTCCTGCCTCACGGCTGGTGGGCGATCTGGAGCGAGCCTCAGGGCCGTCACCTCCTCGCTCGCCTGCCGCTCGGCGACGCTGCGGGGGAGCCTTGGCGAGCCCGCCGCCTCCAGGTGGGACTCCTGTCGCTGCCGTACTCGCTGGGCTCGTGGTCGCAGCGCGGCTCGCCGCCTCTGGCTGAGGCTGGAGTAGAATGGTGAGCCTCTGGAAGATGTTCCCCAGCTCGGTCTGGTTGTCGTTGGCCATGGCGCTGACCTTCCGCTCAACCGCTGCCAACAGTTCAGCTGCAGGAGTATCATCAAGACTGTGGGCCAAGCCTGGCACCTGCTCGGCTTCAGCTGAATCTGCGGTTGCCTCTGCCTTCTTCGCCTCCTCGATCTTGATGCGGGTCTCCTCGATGGCTGCTTGCTCTTGTTGCACAAGCTTTTCCTGCTGCTCGAGGTGTTGGCGAGCGTTGACCACTCGGAGCTGGTAGACTCGTAGCTGTTCTTCATGTCGTTCAAGCTGCTTCTGATGCTTAATCCGTTTGTCTGACGCCTGTTGCAGCTGGGCGCTGATGGGCTTAGTAGCCGCGCGCGCCTCGCGCATGGACTGCAAGGACCCTGCCAGGGCCAGCTGCGCTGGCTGTCCAATCGAACCCAACTTGCGCATGATGTCCAGGGCCTGTTGGCAGATCTGGATCTGCTGCCCCGTGATGGGTGGGGCGGGGGCGGCGCCTGAGCCGCCATCAGCCTGAGCTGCGCCCGCTCCTCCTTCGGCCCCTGCGCCACCTGGGCGGGGGGGGCCTCCAGGAGCCTGCGGGAGGCCTGGGGGGCTGTCGGCGCCCGCCAACGCCCCGCCGCTGCCGCCTCCACCGCCATGCTGAGCTCCGTCGGGTTGAGCTCCTCCGCGCATTCGACGTCCTTTGGCTCCCTTGGACTTGGGCTTCTCCCCATCCGTCTCCTGGGTCTGCTGCTTGCCAGAGTAATGCTCGCCGCAGCGCCAGCACCAAGACAGATTCCACGAAACGGAGGCGACACAGCACTTGCAGGACCAGCTGTACGCCTTCGGGGAGGAGCTCCTCCTCCTCCTCCTCCTCCTCCTCCTCCTCCTCCTCCTCCTCCTCCTCCTCCTCCTCCTCCCTCCTTCCCTCCCTGCC